TTCTACCATTGGACTGGTTAGATAAAGCGAATCCTTTTTTTTCTTGGTTGCTGGTTCCGTTTCCATGGTTCCAGTTCAAATGCTAGAATCCTGTGCTGATTCCGTTTTCATGGTTCCAGTTTCGACTGTCAAGCCAAAGCGGAATTTTCGCTGATTAGTTACACGGTTCGAACCAGCGACCAGCATTTACATTCGCGCTTCGTAAGCCCGCACTTAAAGAATGTTTTCCCAAAATTTCAGAGACTGAACACATCAATACTCTACATTTTCTTCAAACCTTAACCTTAACCTTTTGAAGAAAGTTTGGTTTTAGGTTCGAACGAATAGATTGCAATCCGAACCGGTTCGGTTCAAACCCGGCTAGTAGCCTTAGTTTGGATAAAGAGTTACTTTCGCTCAGAGCCAAATCAAATCTATGCGTAGCCTTAAAACTTTACTACATATATACGAAGTTAACTTCGAAAGAGCTCCATAAAGAACCTGCTCAACTACCTCTACGATTATAAGCTTAGATTCCTAAGGTGAGCTCTGCAACAACTAAGTCCCAGCAGCTGCTCAACAAAAGTTCAAGATCAGCCCATCTAAGAGGTAAATTTTATGCTCAACCCAACTTGACCCAAATAAATGTGGGAAGCAAGAAAAACGCAGAAACTAATCAAACGTGGCAAAAACGAAATGAAAATCAATTAAACGAAACAAATTTCCGATTGCAGGAAAACGCGCTGAAAAGTATTGACATGGCGCCAATGTCGAGAGAAAAGAAAGGAAAACTAAGCGGAAAATAGAAAATGTAAATGACAACAAAAACGACTTTGCAGTGGGAGCTAATAGAGGCAAAAATGTCAAAGGTCAGCTAAGGTGCAGAACGGATAATGCAGTTGCAGAATGTTGGACACACACACACAAATAATGTTGCTGTGTTTGAAAACTAACGACTACCAGATATTCTATCTAATTGAAAACTTGAAAACAATTGACATGAAAATGATTATGACTTATATTAATTTATTTTATATAATTGATAAGTAAATTATTTTAAAAATTGACTTCTGAAGATCTGTTTTCAGAAATTCTCCTGAATATACCAGAAATTGATCAAATTCTTAAAATATAAATTTTTATTTCAAACCATTTTTTTTGTATAGCATACACCAATTGTATTTTCTAAGGAGTTGCCACGTCTAGCTTTCTATCATTTCGAGGGACTACTGTGCATCAGCCCTAAATTTGCGAAAGCTACATACATAAGTAATTCAGGCCAATGCACAAAAAATATAATAATAATAAGTCAAATGAAGCATATACATATGTCCATTTATAGAGAAAAAAAGAAATCACGGCACCTGAGCCTTGACCACAGTTAATTAACCAATGAGCAGATTAATAAAAAAACAATAAAGATGGGTAGCAACTGGAAGAGTTGTTTACACAAGCCCAGCCAAATGAGACGCCAAAGAAAATGATCTTTTACCGATTTCCATATGATACCACAAATAAGCCCCAGCCCCTCCCCTTACGAATTCCTGGGAATTCGTCAAGATATGCAAACAATTCGATTGCAATGTAAATATCTCAATGGAAAACTTGGAACAATCAAAACAAACTGAGGGGCCAGGCTAATGCGTACGGGTTAACCCTAAGACACAACCTACCCCAAAATAAAAATAAAAATAAATAAGAGAAATAAAAGTCGAGTCAACCGGTGGCAACCAGACAAAAGCAAACCAAACCAAACCAAATTCAAGGAAACCAAAACCAAAACAAAGTTATAGCTAAGCAAATAAGACAAAGAAGATGGTTCCTGGAATGTAGCACCAAATTAACATAAATTCCGTTTTCCAAGCCGGAATCAAGCGGCGAGGGGGGAGCGACAGAGCGCTGAGACTCAAAGGAAGTTAAAGGTAAAAAAAAAAATAAAATAAAAGAAAAGCAGAAGAAAACGCAACAGTAAACAAGTTAAAATATCTTGCTAGCGACTGCTCGATTGGGCGCTACCCTGTAAACGTATTAAAAGTGCAGCAACCAAAAATGCATCCAATTATGTTTACATTGGAAGAGGAAAAGGTCTTAGAATACGAATTAGACGCTGTTGCAACTGGCAAAATAAGCTTCGGAGTTTTTATGGCAATTAATGGATTGAAAACTGAAATCATTTAGTGATTTCCAACACTGGATCTTTTATATTATTTCTGGTAAATTTTTGCACGAACAAATACCAAGTGAATAGTGAAGATTAATCAGTCGCCAGACTAATTTTTAACGATAGGCTTGAACAGTTAGTGTTGAAAAATGCACTCATTTAGTGGTTTTCAACACTGGATCTTTTATGTTATTTCTAGCAACTTTTTAACGAAAAAATATCAAGTGAATAGTGAAAATTAATCAGACGCAAGGCAAGTTTTTAACGATAGACTTGGAAAGTTAGTGTTGAAAAATGCACTCATTTAGTGATTTCCAACACTGGATCTTTTATATTATTTCTGGGCACTTTTTTACGAAAAAATATCAAGTAAACAGTGAAAATTAAGACTTTCTTTTTAAAAATTTTCCCCAAAGTCTCGATTCTGCACTGGAACCTACGGAACAAAAGTTTACTAGCCTATGAGCGAACACTGTCTCCAGCTTTTGTGATCAAGTGTATATAGATTTCATGAGTCTTCTGTTGCCAGTTGCATGCGTTCGCAGTACTTGAGTAGACCCGTTTTGTGTGTTATGTAAAGGTCTAGGGTATGGCAGAACGAAACATGTTGCAAAAAGTTCAACGACGCGAACGAAGAAGCAGTCTCGCTTCCGCCGCCGCCACCGCCGCCGCAAAGGGGTGCGCACAGTACTCGGAGCACTGCGTCAGGCGGCACAGTGTACGGCAGGGCAGGGGCTGCGACAAGGGGCGGGGGGAGGTTGCTGTTGTGTCTATGTGTGTCCATGTCCATGTCCATGTCCATGTCCTTGTCTATGTCTATGGCCTGCGCCTGTTGGCCGTGTGCCGCACTTATATATTCCTATTCCCACAAGAAAAATCAATGGAATTGTTTGGTATATTGTTGGGTCTATAAGTAAATGGGGGTTGCGAGGGTGTGCGGGCTGCGTGGGCGGTGTCTGGCAGAATGCCTTTTCTCTTGATTTGTCTTTTCGCTAAAGTGAGTTTTTCCTGCTCCTTTTTGCACTCGCTTTCGGCTTTTCTGCTTCTTTTTTTTTTTTAGCCAAATGAGCGACGACATTGGCGACAAATGCTTCAAGTCCGTAGTTCCAGCATTTGCCCCATCCCCCAGCCCCCTCCAAACCCCTGCACCGCAACCATTCAGCGTCCATCTGCTGTGCAAATGCTGTTGACTCAGTTGACATACTTATTGATGGCACTGTGGTGCATGCAGCACAGCCACGTGGGCGTGTGCTGTGTGGCAGGGTTGGCGGGAGGTATGGCGCGGGTGTGCTGAGAGCGATGAGAGGATATTGCAAAATGCAACGAGGACAAATGGCAGCTGTTCAACTGCAGGCACTGTAAATAATACGATGTGACCCATCAAATCCAACAAATTCCCAATACTAACCGCGCCTCGTCAGACCCTAAGAAACTCAGAGAAAAGAGTTAAAGCTGCGAAACCAGGAAGACCAAGTTCTATATTATTATGGATCGAATATGGGGCATAAGAAATAGACAAACCCAAAACAGAACCAACGCAAACATTTCCAAAAAAAAAAAGAAGGTTTGTTTCTGAATTTCTGACAAGGCGCTTCTTCATGTCTTCAGTTTTATAAATATATAAAAATTAGCAGAATTAGATAACTAATAATGATAATAATTTAATTTAATAATTTAAAATTCGAAATAATGATCCGAATGCTTGAAACAAAACCTGGCTGACTGGAAATTTAAAATCTAGTTTATGCACGGAACCCAAGGACCAGGCATTGGATCGAGCCACAAACCGACAAATTGTTTTACGTTCGATGTTCTATGTTCTTTGTTCTGTGTCTTAGGTTCTCTTGTCAATCCACCAATCCACAAGTAATTTAGAAAAAAAAACTTGACCGTTGATATTACCAACAAAAATCAGTTAGGTTTTACCCAAGGTCTGGCAGGTCAAAGATTGGGAAGAGTATTTACAAAGCTTTTTATAATTTTACAAGTCCAAAAACAATTACTGAAACAATATAGAGTAAAAATCAACTATGAAATGGTATTGCGCTGTTTTCATACTTTGGATTTGAAGGAAGTGAACATACATAAATAAGAAACAAAATAATACCCTAAAAGGTTATAATAACTGCATAATACTCTACAAGGTTATAATAACTTCCAGCAAAGCTTTAAAAAAAATACCGATTTTAAGGAAATCTTACTGAAATAGTTTTATTTTAACATTTGGCCATCAAGCTTCAAATAAAAAATATATTCCTAAAAAATTGTATTCGGCTGTTAAGTCTAAAATAACATTTTATGAAAAATTCCCTTTTACAAATTGCAGTCTTACATTCCAAAATCCCACATCTGGTAAGAATAAACTGCAAAGGATTAATTTGAAGGAATAACTGACTTGGATAAAAATAAAAGATGTTATTGGAAAAAATATGTTATTAATGTAAAGACTCTATATCCCATTATTCGAATAAAGGTTCTGTTAACCTAATCAAAATAGATTACATTCGAAAACTCGGGCAGACTTTATATTTGTATTTATTTTGTTTTTGTTTGTTTATATTTTGCCACTATTTGATTGATAATTTCTAAGAACCTCAATAAAACATACAAATATTAAAACCCTTCCACCTATACTAATGGGAAACCCATCGAAAAATAAATACTTTACTTACGTTTTTCTTTGTTTTCTTAAAATTTAATGAATATATAAAGGTATGCATACGATAATCTATAATTGACCTAATAAATAATAAAAACATCCCAATATATACCATACACATGCACATATATTTGCATATCTCCTCACTCACAGCGATCAGGAACCGTTACAGCATCTAAGCAGAGCTACAAATTTACTCACCTCTTTCTCTGTTGGCAGCGTCCAATTCTGCAGCTGAGCTTATCACAGCAAACGTCGCCGACAAGGAGATGTCGACGGCGGCGGCGACGGCAGAGTCCAAGTAAATGGATGGTCCACTGTAGCTGCTACATGGCCGCTGCAGCAGTAGGAGTAACAGTGGCAGCAGCAGCGGTAGCCAAGGAAATGTAACAGTAGGCGGCACACAAAATAAACTGTAGAAAATGTACTAAACGGCCGCATGGGAATTTCTTTGCATTTATCAAACGGACCGCGGCCGACGTCGCAGTCGGCGCAAACACGTGAGAGCGCCAAACTGCGCAGGCAAAAAAAAAAAAAAAGAAAAAAAAGAAAAACACAAAAAAAAAACTTGAGAAACACTTTTTTGCCTGCTGATGTTGTTTTTGTTATTATTGCGGCAGTCGTTGTTGGCCAGGCGTCTCTCCGCAGCGCACAAAAAACGGTAAATTTCTATTTATTGTTAGTTTGATTTGCACAATGGGCGTTTTACTGTAAATTTGTTTCGACTGCTTTTAAATAAATTTTAGATTTGCCAATGCGACACTTGTCAACTGGCAAACAGCTGTCGGTTCATGTAACTGTTGTTGTTGCTGCTGCTGCAGCTGTACTGCACTTGTTGTTGTTGTTGCTGCTGCTGCAGCTGTACTGCACTTGTTGTTGTTGCTGCTGCTGCTGCTACTGTTGTTGTTGCTGGAGACGCGCGCCGTTAATTTCGTTCGTTTAATTTCACAAGGCATCACAAAAACAAAAACAAACAAAACGCGTTTTATAAAAAGCCGTTACATATGGTATTTAGTATTAACAATAATTTTAAAAAATAGTCAAAACGACGACGACAACAACAAACACTGAGCGACGCGACCGCGACACGGACCCAACTTGACGGCTGGTGAAAAACTGCTCTTTCCCAATAAGAAAGAGAGTACAACACGTCGAGGCAGCGGCAGCAACGTCGACGTCGCAGCTGTCACGCGCGCTGCTCGTTGGTTGTTGTTGTTGTTATTGTAAGTTGCGTTCTATGCTTTTGCTGTCGTTGTACAACTTTTTTTGCACAACACAAACTGTGTGTGTGCGTGTGCCAGAGAGCGAGAGCGCCGCTGCTCTCAAACTTGCTCAACAGTTGTTTGTATTAACAGCGCGCTGTTAAGCAACAGAGCTTGGGCATGGCTATTAACATAACACAAATTGATTTAAATGTAAAAACGATTTACTGTTATTCCGTGGCGTTACATTTTGCTCTGCACGAATTCATAATAACAATATAATTTAGAATACGTTAAGCACGTCAATATATGCCCACAGATATGCATATGTATATTAAGTAAGCCTCGTAGTTGGTTATAAAACCTCCTTCCCGTCAAAATAATTTTTTTTGCTTTTATAGTAGGTAGTGAAACAAATTAAATCAAATTAAACGTTACAATATGCGGCTCCCGTGTACACAGCTAAAAGCAAAAGAAAAAAAATTATCTTTGATTTTTAATCAATTAGAGAGTGGTCTAGTCGGGAATGCCCGACTAGGAAACACCCTGAACACAGTGTCAAACTGCTGTTACTGACATTCTATCCTCCTCTTACATTCACAAACATACAACCACGCACGCTGCGACTGCGCCGTTTCTTCCCTTAGTCGTATACTATATGGGAAATGTCTCCTTGAATAACTCTGGCGTTTGTAGTCCGATCTTTACGACATTTTCAAGTCAGAAATATGGTTTCGGAATGCGAGCTTAGACGGAAGCACAAGGCTCTAACTTTAAAAATTTGTTCTAAAGCCAAATACTATCTTGTTGATAACCGTTTTGTAGGTAACTGGGCCAGGTACCTGAAAGTGTGTACTATGCAAGGCCTGCATACCAAATTTGGTGCCTTCAGCTTTTATAGTCTTCCAGATATGACCGAAAACCAGAATTTCTTTATCGATTCTTATTGCTTTCATAGAAACGGGGCAAGTTATCCATGATCTAATGTATACTTGGTCTGGGCGTATAGGAGGAGAAACTATATTTGAAGACAGACGGATCCGGACACGGCCTCCTTCCTGTTACATAGATTTGCTCGAAACCATCATAGCCTTTCTAGACATTTTCAATGGATATTAAATGACAACTTTACTTACCTATCTCGCATCAGGAACCGCCTCTCCCGGCGTTTTTATTATTTGAGCACAGTACCTGTATGTTGCGATTCTCTTGAAGCTCGGCCTTAAGTTCCGCATCTGGAGATAGCTTCCCGTTTGCTATGGCTTGCACATTTTCCGTATCCTTGACTATAACCCCACCAACAGAACCGGTATATCTGGTCATATTGTTCACAGCCAACTTCACGATATCCCGGAGGGCCAGGACACGTACGGACTGCACCAATGTGCTGAATTGATTCCACTTAGACATTTTACGTTTAAAAGCGAAAAAATTCGTTTCTCGAGGCTAAAATTTGTCTGAAAAAAATGTAATATAAATTTTTAGAACTGTTCTCGACTAGTGTTAAAATTAAACTCAACTTCTGTACGAAACTTGGGCAGAATCTGGACCAGAAACAAACGCCTACTTGGATTCTGGGCATGACGTTTTGAGCCATAAGGAAAGAGACAGAATGAGATAGAGCGAGATAGAGATAAAGAGATTTCATATAAACGGAGGGAGAGGGAGAAAAAAACACAGAGAGTGGGGGCAAAAGAGACTATATGATTAAGTCTAATTGGTTATAAACAGGAGCGAGAAAGGAAAAGAGCAAAAGTGAGAGGAAGAGAGGGGAAAAGAGAGGAAGAGAGAGAGAGAGAGAAAGGGGTAATGTCAAAAAAGTCGAAGTCGCTGATAGATATTTTGCGTGAAAGAGATAAAGAGAGCGAGAGAGAGACACAGAGAGAAAAACAGAGACTACATCCCAAAAGTGTGATAGGTTTTAAGCGAGAGAGAGAGAGAAAGTAGAACAAAGGCTATATCCTAAGAATCTAATGAGTTTTTGGCGAGAAAGAGATATTTAAGAAGAAGGAGATAGAGAGAGAGAAAGTGGAAGAGACGGAGACTATATCCTAAAAGACTGGTTAAATTTTAAACGAAAAAAGAGAAAGAATGAGAGAGACGGTGACTACATCAAAAAAATCTGATAGATATTTAGCTAGAAAGAGATAGATAGAGAGGGAGGAAGAGAAAGAGAGAGGGAATAAAAAAAGGGGCAGAGACAAAGAGAATATCCTAAAAGCTTAATAAATAATAAGTGAAAGGCAGAGAAAGAGAAAGAAAAAGATAGAGATAGAGAAAGAGAAAGAGACAGAGAAGGGAGGGATTGAGAGAGAGAGAGAGAGAGAGAGAGTATCTTAACAATCTGATAAATATTTAGCGAGAAAGAGTGACAGAGTTGAAATCAAAAAGAAAGCTAGGGAGAGAGCGCAAACTACCTGTTACTTTTAGATTAAAGCTGAATATCTGTAAGTTCCTATAAAAGAGAGAAGGCGACAGCGTTCGCTCTCACTCACTCAACTTTAGCCTTGGCCTCGCACAAATGGTCAGGTCTGGGTGCTGTGAAGGACTTTGCAGCCAACAGGACTGTGTGTCCTGGCAATGTCGTCTGGATGACAACAATTAACGGCATTCCAATGTGTCTGGCCGCTTGCAGACTGACGGGAAATTTCAAAAATTTCAATTCACAAAAATTCACAAGAATGCGCCCATTCACACATATACTAGATGCGCTCTACGTATTCGCATGCCCTTTTGTCCTTTTGGGCGAGCCGTGCCGATGCCCGACCGCTACAGGCAGGTGTGTGCTGCCCACCTGAACTCCTTCCAGTGGTAACTACTCGCAATTGGCAGGCTCGTCCTCTCTCCAGCTGCATTGGAGCCTTGTCAAGCTATCAAGTTTTTGATTACATCAATTAAATATCCTTTGGTCCTATGCAATCAACTTAATTGCTTTATATCTGCTGCAATAAATTGTCAACCACCGTCAGGTGGGGTTTATTGGCCCTTCGCCTAACCCCCTGAAGCCCATAAAGACCCAGTCGTACATATTGAATGGCATTCAACTAACATATCGAGGCCTTGAAAGCAATCCTTGCAATCTATTCATTGTCCTTGAATTGTCCACCTCAAGGTGCGATTCGTGAAGCCGATTTTACACAATTGCTTAGCGAGGTTTTGTTTCGAAAGTTCTTCTACACCTTTCTTTCAATTTTCTTTAAATAAATTTTACTTATTATAAGTTATTTTATTTATTTTCAATAATTTAATGTTCATATTAAGAGTACTGAAGAATGGGGGAAAAAAATTATTTTTGTTGATTGATTTTAAATTTTTGTTCAATTAGGAACTTAAATGAAGTAAGATAAAAATAATTTACAGCAAAATGTTCAAGCTCTTGATTTAAGATAGTTTTTCTTAAATAAACTACTTTAAAATGTGAACTAAGAACTAAATGCTTAACCACAAAATGTTCAAGCTTTAAACAAAAGATAGTTTTGCTTAACTTAACTAATTTAATATGTGAAGTAAGAACTAAATACTTGACAGCAATATATTGAAGCAAACAAAATATAATTGGGAAAGCTATACATAAGAATTTCTGTACAAATAAGTAAAAAGAATTTCATTAAAAATTCGAGCTTGAATATTTTTATATTAAAAAATAGTCCATTAAATATTTATATTTGAATATTTCTTAAATTAGGAACTAATGAACTTAATGAACTGAGTTAAGAAACTGAAACCATAAATGTACACTAAAGTTCTTAATTTTAAGCGGATTGTAATTTGGTATTAAAAAAATACGCTGCTAAAAATTCAAGTTTAAAGATATTTTAAATGAAATAAAAATAAATAATCGAAGTAGAAACTGAATACTGATTAAAAAATGGATTGTCTTCAAAGAGAATATTCACTTAAAAATGATTTTTTGGTTTCAAAGAAAACTTTTTATTATGCATAAGGATGTCGTACCCACTAAAAATTCGAAAACTAGTTTGTTCGCCAACTGCTAAAGAGGCATCTTTCAGTGGCCTGAGTAGGTCGCCAAATCTCGGCAGCTATTGGAATAATGTCTGGTGCAGACTCCGCCCGGGCTGACCACGACTTGAGCAACTTATCCTTGCAATCCTTGGCAGCACAAGGCACATTATCCTTAAAAGCTTGTAAGACGCTGTGGCCATAACAAAGTTAAAAGCAACTAAAATAGACACCTGGGACATGGCCAAAAGGAGTGTGTGTGAGTGTGTGTGGGGGCGGGCACGGGAGCGGCTGGAACAGGTAGGCGGCTGCAGCGAGACTCTGGAGTGGCTCTGAGAGTGGATAGTCGGGCTAAATAAGTGCAGCTCAGTTCAGCTCGTTGGCCAATCCAGTGCCACAAAATTTATTGACTTTGTCGTTCTCAACGTCCTTGGATGTCCTACGCGTTGGATGTCGCTGTCGTTGTCCCCGTCCGTGTCCCTGTCCCTGTCCCTGTCCCTCTCTCCGTGTACAGTTGTGTCTCTGTGTGTGTGTGTGTGTGTGTGTCCGTCTCTCGACTAGAGTGCTTGACAGGCTGTGGCAGGCTTCCGCTTACGAGCCTGTCTTAATAATTTGGCATCTTGCTAAATTAAAACTAAAGTCCGGCCACATAAATCGTCGGGGCCAGCCGCTTGATGAGCATCTACTTTAGCCGGGCTATTTGGCTGCTCATGATGTTCATGATACCCTATTACCATTGACAGCGCGCAGAATGGGTAACATGATTTTGGGCATGCTTCGAACGATCCCAAATAGTCTCAGCTTGACAACTTGACTCGATCTAGGCAAGTCTCTCTTCCTTTTCTTCCGTTTGTCCAGCCGTCTAATAACATATATATTCTCATATCGCCCTTTCTTCTTCTTCGACATTGCCCTTTCTTTGCATTTCATCGCAAAATATCGATCGTTAAAAGGATTATATCATCATAACTTGGAATGCATGAAAGCTATTTACAAGGTTTTTTCATCATAGCTCGGAGAGTATGAAAGCTAGTTACACCATATTTGATGAAAAGGTATATGTATATATATAACAAATCTTTCAGGTTTTGGATAACTCACCCCGTTCTCCAATAAATATTGCAAAAACCTCATATTGAGAGCTAGAATCTTGTGCTCTGGGCCATGTATATAGTTCTTTGCAACTTTTAAGTCCTGAAAATTGCATAAAGATCGGACTAAAAACAACGAAGTTAGCCAAGGTTGCTTTTCCCTATTTGTACATAGGGTGAGGCAAGAAGAAGAAGCACAACCGCTATAAAAGGCGTCGCTATAAAAGCCGCTATAAAGATGAATGCCTGCGTGTGTGTGGCTTTCTTTATATGTATAATAGGAAGGCAATTCGAGTGTTTGTAACGTCAGCTCTGAGTCAGTGTGTACAGGGTATCGCCTAGTCGAACACACCCGACTCTTGCATGTTGTAGCATACATGTATCTTGGCTGTGCTGTTGGCATTTACAACTTGGCCCGTTTGCTGGCATTTATGTTGTTGTTTATGAGCACGTGTAATCACTGGCCAAACGGCCATGCTCCATGGAACCACTTCATTGCCGAGCGCTGCCCGACTGCACCTGACTGGAGGGTGGCAACACTGCCCCTTGGCCGTGGCAGTCAGTTGCCCCTAGCAAACCGTTGCCAACCGGCCAGTCAACGTGGACGCTCGCTTCATTTATTGCCGCACTGGCAATGTCGGATGGTGGCCCTGTGTCACCGACACTTGGCCACTTCAAGCTGGATGACTATGTTGTGCTCCATGCATTATTGTAATTGCAATACACAGTGCTTGATTTTATCTTGGTTGTTGTTGTTGTTGTTGTTGCTCCGCTTGAAGTGTCCTCGTTGATGATCCGAGTGTGCTCTGATGGATGCTGATGCATCAAGTGCTTCAGTGTTAAATCATGGAAGCTATGCGAGCGACTGCTATGCAGCTGCTTCACTCAGGTGTGTGCAGCCAAGTGCTGTGTGTGTGTGTGTGCCTGAGTGTATGTGTGCCTGTGTGTATGTGTGTATGTGTGTGTGTGTGAAATAGATTCACTTCAAATTCATCAGTCAATGGCACTCCATTGGCCATGTCAAAATCAAATGTAGTTACCAAGCATCTCAACTGAGGCCTATTTTGTTAGGCTTGTGTTAAAGTTCATGTTAATGCTAACAATCAGTTACATTCGACATGATATTTGAAGATGTCTGTTAAAACTGTCAGATAATGTGACAACGCCTTGGCCATAGCTGGAAAGGCCAAGCATCAACAAGTGAGCAGTGCGGCTCGATTAACTTATCTATATTGATCCGCCAGCTCAATTGTTCGCTGCAAATCTATCCTCCGGTTAAATATCTCAATCTAGATGCTACTTATTGAATTTATTTTTAAGGAAATTTTTGGTATTTTTTAGACAAGCTGGAACCAGACAAAATAATGTAAGCTGGTGATCTAGACGAGTGGGCTCGACTAGCAGATACCCTGTGCCCAGCTGGGATATGCATAATAAAATTATTTACTTATTGAACAACA